ACCAAAAAAAAAAAAACGGTATCGGTGCATCCCTATAATGAGGAAGCATGAGGCCGGCTTTCTGGCCCATCAGGAAGCCAGGTGGCGGGTAATGACTCACTGCCCGGCTTCCTGACTGGCCAGCCAATCAGGACGCCAAGTGATGAGGGAGCATGGAGCCGGCTTCCCGTCCAATCAGGAAGCTGGGCGGCGTGCAATGACTTTCTGCCCGGCCTCCTGATACTGGAAGTTCTGGTATCGGTATAAGTATCGGGAGCATTTGGGCCAGTACGAGTACTGGCCCAAATACTCGGTATCGGCGCATCCCTAGATCACCCTGCTGTGTCAATGGACTGCAGGTGGTGACATCACAGGAGAGAACCACAAGTCCCTCCGCCTGCAAATTGGGGGGGGGGATTGTAACCATGTTTCTGGGTCTAACATGAAACATGGTCGTAAAAGTAAACGTAGCCTCCAAAGAGGTGTGCTGGGTAGTTGGGGGTGTGGCCTAGTGGCAAGTATGATGTCATAGGTAGAGTTCATGGGCAGGTGAGTTACTCTCATAGAAAGGTCTTCTCACCTCTCTCGCACACACACACGTTACCTTGTCAAAGAATCTGCTGAGCTTGACGGCGTTGGAGGAGCCGGCGGCAAGGCCACGCGTGTTGTTGCAGTCCTGAACACGGAGAGATTGTGTGTTGACATCGGGCCTAGAAACAGCTGCGCACAGAGACATGCCCGGCCACCAGAGGGCGCCGTGACTTATATCGCTGCCACCAAATCATCAGACTCAATGAGAATACAGACACATGAAGAGGCGACAATCGTGAGCCGCAATATGAGGACAAACCCGAGCGATGAAATGTTCCCCCGGGTCAGAGCCGGCACTCAGCACCACATAGTTGGTGGCAGATCTGATGGAGATTGTACGGAGTATGGCGATATAAATGTGACCAGGAGCCGAGAGCGCCATCTGCTGGCTGCACACCGGAATAGAGCCGAGAGCGCCATCTGCTGGCTGCACACCGGAATAGAGCCGAGAGCGCCATCTGCTGGCTGCACACCGGAATAGAGCCGAGAGCGCCATCTGCTGGCTGCACACCGGAATAGAGCCGAGAGCGCCATCTGCTGGCTGCACACCGGAATATTCACAGACAATGTCTCACATTTATAATATTACAACACAATGTAATCTTCTAATCCTAAATATCAATGTAAAGACATAAGAGATATTCACATAGCACACTATAGGGTCTACTTATAAATGTGTTCACCCAGGATTCACATAACTTTCACCCAAACTGCACCCAGGACTCGCATAACCTTCACCCAACCTGCACCCAGGATTCACATAACCTTCACCCAAACTGCACCCAGGATTCACATAACTTTCACCCAAACTGCACCCAGGACTCGCATAACCTTCACCCAACCTGCACCCAGGATTCACATAACCTTCACCCAACCTGCACCCAGGATTCACATAACCTTCACCCAACCTGCAGCCAGGATTCACATAACCTTCACCCAACCTGCACCCAGGATTCACATAACCTTCACCCAACCTGCACCCAGGATTCACATAACCTTCACCCATCCTTCAGCCAGGATTCACATAACCTTCACCCAAACTGCACCCAGGATTCACATAACCTTCACCCAACCTGCACCCAGGATTCACATAACCTTCACCCAAGATTCACATAACTTTCACCCAAACTGCACCCAGGATTCACATAACCTTCACCCAAGATTCACATAACCTTCACCCAAGATTCACATAACCTTCAGCCAAGATTCACATAACCTTCAGCCAGGATTCACATAACCTTCACCCAACCTGCACCCAGGATTCACATAACCTTCACCCAAGATTCACATAACCTTCACCCAACCTGCACCCAGGATTCACATAACCTTCAGCCAGGATTCACATAAATTTCACCCAAACTGCACCCAAGATTCACATAACCTTCAGCCAGGATTCACATAACTTTCACCCAAACTGCACCCAGGATTCACAGAACCTTCACCCAACCTGCACCCAGGATTCACATAACCTTCACCCAAGATTCACATAACCTTCACCCAACCTGCACCCAGGATTCACATAACCTTCACCCAACCTGCACCCAGGATTCACATAACTTTCACCCAAACTGCACCCAGGATTCACAGAACCTTCACCTAGGATTCACATAACTTTCACCCAAGATCCACACATTTTTCTAAATGGATTTGACTGGAAAATGTTTGAATACCGGGATACAGTTGTGTGAATCTTAGGTGAAAACCTTTATAAATAGACCTTTACAGCTGGACTCCAGGCTGGTGTCTACTTCCTGTCACTATAGAGATCACATGTGTGAATATACAATACCTGCTTCATGAGTAGAGAACCTTACTAAAGTCTGTGATGTCACCGTATGTAAAAGAGAAAACACGGCTATCCCCCGGCACCGGGAAGCGGTATCAATGATCACTTCCTCTCCCCGTGCACGGCCTCTGGAACAATCAGCATCAGAAAGGGGAATTGTAGCTGCTGGCAATGGGCGTGAGCAGGAGTGCCCTGGCCTGTCAATCAGAGTGTGATGTCATGGTGGGCGGGACAGACTGGGAGTCTGAGATGTCCAGCTCCTCCCACTACAGCCAGCAGTGACATCATGACATTGTGTTCTGGAACACGCCTATTTAAAGTATGCCGATGCTTCTACCTGCCAGGCACACGTGTGTACATGGATATAAAGATTGTCTTCCGTCTGCTCAGCATGTCTGAACCAGGAAAACAAACCCCTCCCCTCTGTGCAAGGCGCGCCGTCACCCGGCATGACGTGAAGGAAGGGGAGGCCGCGGCTTTTATGTGATGTGCTCCCCGCGAGGAGAAGGAGGTGAAAGTGATTTCAGTGGCTCCTCATAACCCGCTATTAGTCCCTGAATAACATCCCCACACAGCGTAAGATTTGCTCACCAGATTCATCTCTTCGGCGTTGAAATCCTCCGCCAGGAAGGCGGTGCGGGTCAGGACCTCGGTGCGCTTGGCCTCTGGGATCTGGTCCAGTTTAGTACCGGTGACCAGCAGGGGGATCTGGTTATCGGCAAAGTTCTCCCGGTCGTAGTCCCTGTGGGCGAGATGGAAATCAGACCCATGCAGGACTTGTAACAAGACGCCACAACTGAAGCGTAGGACTCTGTGAAAGAGGGGTCCACCCTGGTGGTAACGAGATCCCATTTGGGGGAACCAATCCAATCTGGCACGGTCTCACAGATTAAAGGAGAACTATGGGGGTCAGGGCTTTTCCCCATAGTTCTCCTTAGGGTCACGGGACGACATAAACTAGCGTCCTCCCGTCACCCTAGGCTCAGTATATAGGGAGCTACAGCTCGCGGTATACTGAGACGCCGCAGCCGGAGCGGATCCCGACATTACTGTCAGGATCCGCCCAGCTGCGTGACTGACAGCTGGCTCCGCCTATCTAGAGGCATAGCCAGCTATACCCGCCCCCTCCCCCGTCCGTTCTGCCAGTCAGCGCTGGAGGATCGAAGCGGGGGGGGGGAGAAATCACTGCAGGGAGCCATGAGTGACAGTCACGGCTCTCTGCAGGGAGATGATCGAGAAGTGAGCGAGCGACGGTATGTGTTCACTCACTTCCCAATCTATTGAGCCGGCCTGTGACCGTTTCATTGTCACACGTCGGCTCCAACTATGAGGGTGAGTGAAAATCACCCCCCTCATAGTTCTCCTTTAAGGTCACTGCCAACAGATGGCAGAACAAGCCAATTCAAACTAGACATGCGCACCAGCAAAAAATTCGTTTAGTTTCGATTCGGATTTTGCATTATTTCGTTTTTGGGATTCGGGTCCGAAATTAAATTCGTTTTGGAATTCGGATTCGGACAAAATTCGTTAGCGGTAGTCCGGTCGATATTTCGTTTTTGGACGAAATTTCATTGCAGTAAAAACAAATTTCGATTTTTTTTTTTTCCTAATGTCGTTTTGCTGCAACGAAATTTCGTCCATAAACGAAATTTCGACCGGACTACCGTTAAAGAGCTTCGGGAATTCGGATTCGTTTGCATTCGTTTTAGCTGTAATTCGGATGCATCCGAATCTCAGAATTTCCGAAGTTTTGTCCGAATTTCGTTTCAGACGGAAACGAATCGCACATGTCTAATTCAAACTGGGATTGAAAGAGGGACTCTAGCGGACTGTCCGTATCCTGCCCCGTCTAGTGATGTCCTTGGTAAGGTGGGTCACCGATGGATCCAGTGGGCATAGAGCATTGTTTGATGAAATCAGCATTCAGGAGGCCGGCACGGTGGAAGGACAGATAAGGTACG